GCACATGATAGGAAAGTGCATAAGGGAAATGCCACGTGAAGTGCTTTGAGCAGCGTCTACGCAACAATTTTTGCTGTTCACGGTGAGCAAAATGCTGATCAAAGCACGTGGCATTTCCCTTATGTACTTCCTATCATGTGTGGCGTGCCTTACGCACTTTCCTTTCGTGTGCGTTGGGCTTTAGGTGTATTATTCACAGGTATTTTTCATTGCAAACTCCTCCACTTGGCTACATTAATTCAAGTGGGAACTGTAGAATGGAATTTGTAATTAAAGCTTCAATTAATATAATTATAATGAAAACTTAGATTGTTTATGCAAAACTGTGAAAAATTCATACTCTATTTTWAATTTCTCAGCATAATTTTGAAAGACAGCTGAGCCTTTGCATCAAARTGAGAKGCCAAGGTATCTATCATTTCAGGCTCAACTCCTGTCTGTCTTTGATGTAAAGTCTTGTATACCTTTAAGCTTAATGTCCATGTAAAATCATATTATTGTTTAATAAGCTTAGAGTGAACAGTCTTTAGGTATTTTATGTCTATAATTCAACTTTGGTTTAGTGAATAGAAATATCTATGGTCAGTGTGTATGACGCTATTGTGTAGTTTTTTTTAAACTCTGCCTTATTTTCTATGCTAAGGTAATGCAGTGTGCTAACTGCATGTACATATTAATATTGGTAATAAATCAATACAAAACGTATTATTGCGAGTTTTTATTTCCAAATTATTTTTTACTTTTCTATCCATATAAAAATATCGTATTGTGTATGGATTTGATATGTATCTTCAATAACCTTAACAAATTTTCAACAGTGATGAATGGACATTGCCATTAGCAATAGCAAGCGGAATTGCATTAAATATGATTGATTGTACAAAGTCATTAAATTCAAACRTTTAGAAAATATTATAACATTACCGCCTACGGCCGCCATYTTAAATCACGTGACCAAAGCTGGAAGTCTGAATRCCTTYGGGTGGTTCAAGATGSCGGTCGCATCATTCGTCTYAACTGGCTTATTAAAATAATGTAAACGAACTAGACWGTGAAGTCACACAAAGTCCTTTGGTCGCGTTACAGAAAAAAGYGTTTTTTTTGCGAAGACTATCACACMAATTCGTSGCATAAAGTCACACAAATTAGTTTGGCYATGTTACAGAAAAAATGCGACATTTKCGAAAAATATCGCATACGAAAGACCTTTGTGATGAACAACTCCTATCAATCACTATCACTGTCATAAACTTTAATTCTTCGTCTTGTTTTCTTTCCTTTACCGTTCGCAACACTGCATTTCTTGGAATTGTTTTTGGGTACTAAATCTTGTTTGGTGTGCATCATTTGAGTGGTGCTATTTYGTTCTTGTTCCGCATYAGAATCTTCRTARAAGGTCTTTAGCATGGGTTTGTGCTGGCGTTTAGTAAACATTGATCGTTTCTTCTTGTCTTGAGGAGTAGGTAACACCACGGTTGCTGATTCATCGTCTGTTTCATTGTCCACTTCATTGTCAATAATAAAACATTTCCTGCCATTTGTTACATTGCTGACATCAGTGATGTCATTGTCATCATAATCATCATCAGATTGACTGGAATCAATTAAACTAGTTGAAGGGCCTGCTGGGTAATAATTGTAGTAGCTTTGACGCTGGTTTTTGCCTCTTGGACTTTTGCGCTGTCCGACTTCTTGTCCAGTTTGCTGTGCAGCTGTGTCATAGTCGTCTATCTTTTTCTGYAAAAGCCTCGTTCTTTTTCTCTTTGCTGCTTGATGTGTATCGTTATTCCCACAATTTTCTTTCCCTTTCCCACTCCATTTCTTCCTCTTTTCCCCCTTTCCTTTGGTGTCTGTTTTGTTTTCTATCGGTTGCAATGACCTCGCACTTGTTGATGCAATCTCGAAATGATGTTGATCGTGTTGCCTCTCTGTCGGCAGCTGGTCGTCCGAATCACTGTCATAAACATAAGATACGGTCTTTGATCTGTGTTGTCCTCTTCTAGATAATCCCCTTGTGCCAGAACAAATAGTAGATATGATTTGTACATCGTCATCTGTGCTCTCGTCSGAGATATCTGAAGGTATTTTATAATGTGTGCCTTGTTCGCCTCGTCTTCTTGTAGTATTTCTTCTCCTATCACTTTTTCTTTTTTCTGGACTGTTGAATATAAATGTAATATTTCAGGTGAGAATAAGCGGGGAAATAAATACGTGATAACGTCTCGTTCTAGCTAAGGATACGCGGTATTATATCAAACGAAAACAAGGTTGTAGGCTATATCTGGCGTTGCTATTTGGATATTRATCTTAAACTATCCAAAACTTGTAGAGTGAAGTAAAAAAAAAAAAACCCGTGATATCACACTAATGCACCTTGTTGTGCTCTAATTGCATTGTTTTCTTTTGTGTCTATTTAACTATCACACTTTAATGATCAAGTTTTGTTTCACGGGTTTAATAACATCACTCTAGAGTCGTTTTCATTTGACC